TGAACCCATAGCTGTTTGCTGCCCAGCATACTAAAAGGAAAGTACTAAAAGAGTGGCAAAAACAAGTAAAGAAAATAAACCCACTTTTTCTAATTTTTCAATTATTTTCTCGTTATACTTTTTGAAAACTCTTGTCAGCTCCTCAGCATTCAACAAAGCGTCATTTCTTTGCTGTTCTGTTCTGCAAAGCAGCATACAAATTAAAAAAGAGAGAATTTCAGCGATTTATTAACTCCTTCATCCAGTTATAGGAAACAGAACAAACAACCAAATTAACAACTTCAGGTAATTTCTTTTCTCCATCAAAATTCCCAAGCCCCTAGATAAAAAAAAAAGTGTCACAAGGCATGAATACATTTTAAATGTGATTTTTGCATGTTAAGTAAAATTCCAATAATACTATGAACCTAAAAATAAGCATTTTTGATGCTCTTTAAAGAGCATTTGCTATTTAAATAATTCTCCTGCCCCCTTGCCAGGTCTGATAGGAACTGATCAAAGGATAAATTATTTTGGGAATACTAGAGAGATAACATCAATAAGTGAAGGAAACAGACTGGGGTGGTATCAGGTAAACAAGCATTCAAAGAAGCAACCCCCACTGCCAACTGTTTCACTGTTTTCCTGCTCTCATAGTGCCCTTCTCAATTGTACCATACATATAGATAAAATTAAAGATAACACAAAAAACAGCCTGATCTAGTGAAAGGTGTCCCTGCCCATAGCAGGAGGGTTGGAACTGGGTGATCTTTAAGGTTCCTTCCAACCCAAACCATTTTATGATTCTCTCAGGTAAGTTGCATTTCTATTGCTTTCCCCACACGTACCCCCACAACACAGCACTGTGTACTGGTAACTAGTTCTGTTCATCACAACATCATACACTTGAAACACAAAAAGCATATGATGTAGATTCTTGCAAGACAGAATCAAAAAATAATCCAGGAAAAATACATTCTGGACAAATTTCAGCACTAAAGAACATTTATTGTGAAGGGAAAAAACACATAATAAACTGGATAAGCAGCTAAATTACATTTTAGTGTAATGGATCAGCCTGCAACTACCAGCAAGCTTCAAACCAAAAAAAAGCTTACTTAAAACAGCCTTTACAGAAAGGCCAATTTCCCCTTTTCTTTTTTAAAGTAGTATTGATAAAGCATAGAAATAATTTCATTCCATAAAGTAAACATCTGCCAAAAGGAATAAACACTTAAGCATTATTATTTTATATTATTTTATTAAAACCACTTAGTCACCTTTTTCCTTGCTTGCTTCGTTCAATTAACTCCATTTTCAAATTTTTATAGTCCTTTTTATATCTGTGCAACATGCTTTCTCTTTCCATTATTGTTTTTTGGCTTTGCTCTAGTTTATCTTCTGTATCTCTGGCAAATAAACAAAGAGTGATTTAAAAACAGGAGTTTTTTTTTCATAAAGAAACCTTTAAAAAAAATGAGGAAGGCAAGGAGTGGAAACTTTTCTGCACATGCTGTTTGAGAAGAGCTAGTCAAACATATCGCAACTCTCAAAACCAGGTTTGGGACAACCCACAGCTTCCAGATGGACCATAAGACTCCCCAGCATTATGTCTGGAGTGATGTTCAAACACATCAGTAGGCATCAGGTGTCACAGCTGCCAAGGACCTAGATGTCTGGGATTGTGTCACCTGAACACAGGAATCGCTATTTTTCTAGAAATATGTGACTGGCCAGCACATATACATGGTAAACAACACTAAGGTAAGGTAAGTATTTTTACTCGTTTTGTGAAAATGGACTTTTGAGGCATTATTTTAATATTATACAGCATGAGGTTTTAAGATAAGCTGACAACCAGGTGTGTCTTCCTGACATCCTCTGGACGTTGATTACATTAGCTTTATTTGGTCATTTGTATTGATTAATATAGTCGTAAAGAAAGAATCCTTTGTGCTACGTGGTACACAGTCACATTTGAAAATACTGCTTTTCAATTGTTTATTATAGAAGTTGTACAGTCATGTGGCATACAATCATTCTATTCAGTTATACATGTAAGTGCATTCATGTTCAGTATAGATTATAAACTGTTTTCTTTTCCCTTTACTATGTTTTTCCCTTTCTTGATGTGCATTCTCCACATAGGATGTATGCACAAAATAGAACACCTCCCTCCTCATATACATTGCCCTAAAAATGAAAGCTTCAAGCTCTAGATTACATGACCCACAATGAAACAGTAATTATGTGATCCTAAAAAAACAGATGCAACTAGAAAGCAGACCATAATAGTATTACGAAGTACGTTACCTTAAAATTTTATCTTGAGCTGAAATTTCTGCTTCGAGATTTACAATCCGTTCTTCTAACTTAGGAATGCTGACTAAACGTGTACCTAAAGTTGATTCAAGATAAGAAATCTGAAATACAAACGTATTTAAGGCTTCATTAGTGCTTATGTATATACCTTTAGATGAGATGCTTGCAAACTATCTGCCTACTGAATGACACAGTGCTCTTCACTTTGCTGTAGAAGATGCTTGTTCATAACACAAACTGACCTCCAGCTTTCTGCTCTTTTAATTCCAGTTCCCTAGCACCATTCCAGCTTGGTATGCTGTCTAACAGAGAGTGATTTCTTTACATGTTGATCTTGTCTCTGTCTTTTTCCCCAAAGGTTTATGTTCCTCTGCTTGTTCTTTCTAGGCCAGACAGACAAATATTTTGCTTATCTACTTATTTGCACTGCCTTGGAAATAGCAATTGTCAAACAAAAAGATTTAAGCATAGCTACATTTTATCAGTGTTACATATAAACAAAGAATAACAATTGCCCTAAAAAGTATATATACAAAGCATATATTAAAACAGTAATGATTAACTACAATAATTCCTTCTAATTCATCTTTACTTTTTCAAAATAGCAATACAATTCAAACCCAAAATGTTATTTTTCGTTTCCTAGACAAATGACTACTATGCATTATTACTCACATTAATATTGCTCAGAAAAATATAGTCACACAAATGTACAGTGCTAAATACATCACTGAACTATTCTCTTATATAATTTATTCTTCTATCTCTTTATTAGCAAACTAAGATTTATGAAGTGAAGAGCAGGAAAGGCTTCTCCCCCTTGATTTATCACCTTGCATAACAATTTGTCATTCCAACTTACTTGCATTCTATGACTTATTGGCTTTAAGATTAAATTTTGGAACATAAATAGATCAAATTAATAGATGTTCTGTTCATGGAGAAAGAGATTCCAAACTATTCTGTTCCAAAATTATCACTGAATTGTACTAAACAGTAATGTGACTATTAAAAAATTGTATAGAATGTATGTATAAGAACAAACTCTAAATATTGAAGTTGAAAAAAAAAATCAGAAGTCATGGTCCCTCGTGCTTTTGTTTGGTTTTGAAAGCAAATACATTTAAAGATACATACTTTTGTTTTTAACTGCATCAATTCCAAGTTCATTGTTTCAGCTTTATTCTTGAGGTAGTGGTTCTGAGAAGCCACAGATGCATTTTGCTCACGAAGATCATTCAGCTTCTCCCTAAGACGTTCATTTTCTTCCACAGATTTATCATAAGTTATAGGTGTCAATTCAGACTAGACATAAAAAAATATATATATTTATCTCTACATATATGTGCATATTGCAGGAATATATACTCCATTGGAATATCTGCTGAACAAATATATGTATATCATATTATGTTTAAAGAGTGCTCTGTGATACAGCTACCCGAGGATAAAGTGTATGGAAGTTCTAAGAGCAAGAAAATCTCATAATCATAGAACATAAAACAAACAAAAGCAGTAAAAAACTTATCAAGTGCAATATTTACTTCAGATTTTCTTTGAAAATCCTGGCAAGATGTTCTACCAGCAATCTTCTTGCAGTTGGAAGAGCACTGATAGTTGCAATTAGGCTGAACAAGGTCCTCCAGGGTGAGGTTTGCAGTTTCATCAAAGCAGTTGTCAGAATATTCACTTGTGCTAGTGGCAAGAGGGAGAGTAAGAAGTTGTTACCCCACTTTTCTTTATTATTTTCAAGTTGCTCATAAAGAGTACTCAAGACCAAAGCACTAAAGTAACTACTTGCAGTAATCCGCTACACTCAGTAAAACATATTTACACTGCAAGTGACAGACCACTCTCATTCCCAAACACACTTGTACCTGGAAAGCTCTTCCCCTAGACTTTGTAGACTTTTTTTCAGTTCTCCTCAGCTGATCTCGTAACGACTGCACATTTGCAACCAGCTCTTCATCAGCACTTTCAGAACGAGTCCACGCAGCACACTCCATTGGCACCACACTTGGCTAAGACATTAAAACACCATTAAACGTATGTAAATGCTACTTGAAAAGATGTTTTCTAGTTTTAAAGATAATTAAATTTAAAAAATAAAAAAAATATTTCTAAATGTAAACGCACATTTCACACGTCACCTCCTCCTACGTTCACTAGATAAACATCACTCTGTACAAACGCAATGTTTAACTTATAGACCTATTAAAGAAAAAATGCCCTGTATCTACTCATGAAGTAGAAGCAGCTTCGTGAATTCCTGCTGAGGAAACCTGCAGACCAGCTGCTGCGGGCAGCGCGGGGACGGCCAGGCGTGACAGGAGGAGCCCGGGCACTGCCCCGCCGCCGCTGACCAACGGCTGGGAGAGACCCGTGCCCGCTGCAGCTCGCCGCCTGCCGCGGTGATTCTTGAAAAGCAGTTCCGATCTCCTCTATTAAGGGCTGCGCGCGGCTCCTGAGGTAAGGAAAGCGTACCCGCGGGCGGCGGGAGACCCCCCGGAGGACGTCCGTCCGTGTGTCCGTCCGCCCGCCTGCGCGCTCCCCTCAGCCGCTTCGAGCCGCGCGGGCCGTTAGCACCCGCCCCCCGCAGGGCGCACGCGCCGCGCTCTTCCCCCTCCTCTCCTCTCCTCCCCGCCCCCGCCCCTCGCCGCCGGGAGCCCCCACGGCGCCTGCGTCAGCGCCGCCGCCCGGGAGCGGGCGGCGCGGTGCATTGTGGGCGGGCGGGGGTGCCGGCAGCCGCCATGGGGCCGCGGGCGGTGCTGCTGGTGCTGGCGGCGGGGTGCGCCGCGCTGGGCGCCGCCGAGTTCAGCCCGTCCCTGGACAGCGACTTCACCTTCACGCTCCCCGCCGGCCGCAGGGAGTGCTTCTACCAGCCCATGCGCAAGGACGCCTCGCTGGAGCTCGAGTACCAGGTCGGGGGCGGCGGGACGGGGTGGCGCGGCACGGGGACGGCGGGGGACGAGGCTCTGGGGCTGTGCCGGCTCTCCCAGCTGCCGTCCTCTAAAGCGGGAAAAAAGCAGGAATTGGGCTTCTGCGCCCGTGTGGAGCGGCAGCCTGAAAGCGTGAGCGGAACTGCTGCGCAGCGCCCGCCCCGCTCGTGCTGAGCGCCTTCATCGCCGTGAGGAGAGGTGTCCGAAGGCAGCCTGGTGTAACGGGGCTCCTCGGCCCCCTGCTCCTCGTTTTCCTCTTTCCCAATTAAAATGCAAAGCTGATAATCCCGCTTGTTTTCTAATTATTCTTGTTCCAAGCAGAACTGAAAAAGAATCAAAATCTGAGGTGTTCAAGCTTTTTTTACGGTCTTGTCTAACCAAAACGAGCTTAAAATAAAATTCTACTTTAAAGCGTCGATGCAAAATAATCATAGCAGACCTTTAATGTTTATTACAGAGAAAACAGATGTATTTAACGGGAAACTTATTTCTACTCAAGCATAAATTTCTTCTGCTACTATTAAAAGTAGTGATTCGTCTTTCTAATTGAAATACTATCCTGAATTTCTAATGGCCAAAGCCTAGGGTCTTTGAGGTGGAGGCAAGCTGTTCTCTGGTGACATCATGCAGTAAATGCTATGCTGACAGGAAGCCTTCTTCCCATATGTTTAGGTTCTATTATAGTCCTAAAGGTGTATCACTACGTATGGTTTTCCTTCTCTCAAATGTTAGTGATTCATTTTCCCAGCCTTTTCCTCTTTTTGGTAAGTCTCCAGCATCACTTCCAGTTGGTGTAAACTTTGCCCTCAATTTCATCAGGACTGCTGTGCTCAAGTAGCTCTCTGGAAAGCAAAGATGGAGCTGAGTAATGTCATAAAAATAATGCCACTCTGCACCCGTAGCCCCCCACGCAGTCACTACCTCCCTACAGAAAAGTCTCCAACGCAATGGATGTGGTCACCCAACTGTAGCCATGTCGTAGTTAAAGCAGCACAGCTTTGTAATACTGTATACGTTTACTATGAGCCTAGAAACTAAATGCCTTCCATCCCTTCTACTTTGGGGAAATGAGAATGCCCCAGGAGAGCTTAGACCTTAAATCTGCATTAAAAGGTGAGAAGTTCTGTGGCACACCTTTAATTGGTGTAACAAGTCCAGTCCTGCCTTCTATGCTGTTAATTCACCCAACAAGGAGATCATAGGGATGATGCTGCATAGATTGTGTTCTTACGCAAATATGTACGGGTATACACATAACCTGTGTTGTGAAATTTCTTTGCAACCAGAGGACGAATACTGGTATTTGTTCATCAATGATGCGTCATAGAAATGCCAGGTTTAGCTGTCTGCTGGTACTGCAAGGCTGCCTAACCCTGTTCCGTGATGAAATTGTATGTGTTCTTAAAAACATTATGGAAATGTTCAATATAAGCCCAGGCTTGCATAATTAGATCATACTTAGTTTAAGATTTGAAATGGTTAAAATGCTCTTGGGTTGAACCAGTTTCTAATCTGTTTCAAATTAACTTGGTATGAACTCAGGTTCAGATTTCAGTTCTTTCTGTGTTCCCCTACCTAAAAGTGTTACCTTCATCAACGTAACCACAAATTGCACTGGTTGGAGAATTTTTGTTTGTTTCACAGGTTCTAGATGGAGCAGGATTAGATGTCGATTTTCATCTACTCTCCCCAAAAGGTGAAACTTTAGTTTTTGATGAAAGAAAATCAGATGGAGTTCATACGTAAGTTTAAAATCTTTGAAGTGTTACATAAAGCATTTTTCTGATTTCTTTAGCAAATACATCTAAAATGAAGGCTGATTACTTTTTTTTATTATTTTTAGTATTATAAAAGACTTTGTATTAGGACAGTTTGAGAATACCAGCTATATGTTTATAAACATCTCTTTTCATATGCATCTTGCCATGAAGTGAAGTATACTTTTATTTTAATAGTAACAGCTAATGGTCAGTGAACAAAAATAATTAGTGTGGAGTTGAAAAAAGCCTTTACATATAATAATAAAAGATCTTTTTAGGCATATAAACATCAAAACTCAAAAGGACCCTCCTTCTCCAGTCCTTTTATCAAGATCATTAAGATTAATCACTGGTATTTTACTGTAGTGTACAAGAATTCTACTCATAATATAGCTTTTTCTTTAACAATGATTCAGAATTCAAATGAAATTAAACTAAGTTGTTATCTTCATGATTTTGGTCAGCCTTTGGTCAGCAGAATGGTTTTGCTATGACTAACCAATCTGTAATGTATTCTTAATTTTATATAAAAAGCTTACTCATTTTTTTTCCTAAATGCATGTTTGTCTTTCTTTAAGAAAGGTCACTTATAGAACTTGCTCTTTGAGAACCATCACAGAAAGTGTAGCTAATTTAATGATGTGCTTATATACACAGGGTGGAAACAGAAGATGGGGATTATATGTTCTGCTTTGACAACACATTCAGTACCATTTCTGAAAAGGTGATTTTCTTTGAACTGATCCTGGACAATATGGGAGAAGAAGGTCAAGATCAAGAGGACTGGAAGAAGTATGTTACAGGCACGGATCTTCTAGATATGAAACTGGAAGACATTCTGGTTAGTATTTGATATTTAATACTTCTGAATGTAAGAATATTTGGAAAAAATATGTACTGCCATGCAGTCTTGGTCTGTCATGTCATTCTGGAAACTCTTCCAGTCCCATATTTTTTTTTCTACTGATACATGAAGTCTAGCAGCATGAATCTCACACTTCCACACAGAAACTTAAGAATATTTTTGGAATAGACCCCTAATCATCAAGAAAAAACTGTGTAGCCATTAAAGTAATTCCTTCTCCCATTCAGCTTCCTTTCTTCCTATTGCTAAAATTGGACATTTTTCCCTTGTAGCAATTAAATGAATATTTATACCATTAAAATATTACTTAATCCCAATGATGTTGTTAGAATCTGTATAGTTTTTTATCATATGTTTGAGAAGTACTGGTTAAGCCTCATGTTCCCATCTCTGCAGAAGTGGCTCAGCCAGCACGTGGGTTAATTCTTCTCTTCTTGTTTTTATATTTTGTCTTCCCCATTTTATTTCCAAGTTTCCACCTAATAAACAGACCAGGAAGTAACCTATACTGCGCTGCAGGTTCACCCCTGCTGATGTTCTGATAACATCTGGAAGAGCAATAGTGAACCATCATTAGGGTTGCTGAACATGGTGCTACTGCTGAAGTACATGGAGAGAAGTGGATGCTATATGTTACTGGTGTGGCAGAGATACTGCACATTATGTCCCAAGGCCCTGGGCAACTGCAGGAACACTTGTCAGAGACCCCAAGCAAATAGGAGACCTACTGTCATAGCTGCTTTTCTTCTATTTTTTTCATATTTAAAGTATGCTTAAGTCAATCTGGATCCAGTCTACAGTCACAACAGCCACCGTTCAGATTTTCAGTTAAAATATGAATGGTAATGCTTGCTTAAACTGTACGCTGGCCCTGTTTGCTTTAGGGTGAAAACAGCTGCCCACTCAAACCTTTTATTTCCTTTCATCACTGAATTATTTTTAGATTTCTCTAGAAGCAGAACATTATTTGGTGCTCCTGGAGTACTGCTAGTGTTTGTTACAATGCAGAAAAAATTTGTTTGCTGTTAACTATTTACATCAGATCTGTGTATCTACTAAAGACAAAAAAATAGCATCCACAAAGACTGAAGACTTGTAAAAAAAAAAATAATAAAAAAAAATGTATCCTATTCCTTGCAGCAAGCAAAATGCAGATTTTTAAACATTAGAACAAAGTGTTAAAGATGACAGATCTTTTACATGTCTATGGTATATTTTTTACTAGGTACAGTCAAACACTAAATCTGATAAGCCAGCCAGATCTTCTTTAAACCAGTAGTCAGAACAATTATAGAAAATAATTATTGTAGGGGAAATTGTGAAGAAAATCCCTCTTGCAATAATCACAAAAAAAAATAGGTGAATTTGAGTTACTTATGTAGATACAAATATGTCCTCCAGAAGGAAAAAAGGCAGGGCATGTCTTTATTTGAGGGCTTTACAGATCTTATAATTTTTGTAATGTTAGTACTAGTGTTTGATGTCATTGTTCCCTTAGTCAAGTCATGGCATTACTTGCAAGTTCAATGAGGACTTTAATAAATACTGAGTACTACCGTGAAAGCACAAAACAGAATATGGGAATATAACATTACTGTACATTTTTTCTTCTACAGCTATAATCTTGATAGTAGGTTGCATTAAAAAGTACCTTGAGTTGATTATCTAGCAGAAAAACCTACATTTGTCTTCTAGTACATCACTTATTTTAAGACTAATCCATTAGAGGTAATTGCTTTTTACTTTTCCGAGTACCTGGAATCACATTGCCCTAAGATACAACTGAATATTAAAAATTCATCTTAGGTTTGATTTCCCTCCCACATCCCTATCCTCCCGTGAAAAGGAAAGACAATCATTGCTCTATGCTGATTCTATGATATTGCTATATAACCTTAATGCTACTTTAATTCAGCCTTTTTAATGACATGTAACAGGCTAGATAAATTAATGAAAAACCTGTGAACAGGTATGCATTTTAAAATGAAGTTAACTGTCTACTTGGCAAGAACTTAAAAGTAGTAATACAGTTTCAGTATTTGTTGCAAGCTATTAAGTGTTATTTTTTCCTCTTCTAAATATATTCTTTTCTTACTTACTAGGAATCCATCAACAGTGTCAAAGCCAGATTAAGCAAAAGCGTCCAGATTCAGACCCTGCTCAGAGCATTTGAAGCTCGTGACCGAAATATACAAGAAAGCAACTTTGACAGAGTGAATTTTTGGTCCATGGTCAACTTGGGAGTAATGGTGGTGGTATCAGCTGTTCAGGTTTACATGCTGAAAAATCTTTTTGAAGACAAGAGAAAAAGTAGAACTTAATATTCAGTATGGCTATAACAGTGTAACAGGTGGCAGGGGAAGGAGGGCAAAAACTTCTACAGGAAAGAAAACGTTTTTCAGATTCCTTTAAACTTGCAATAGACACATCAGATTTTCAATTCTTATGTGTTAGGGTTTTTTATCATGAACAGAGTATCTTGCCCACTGCTTTTCCATTTTTTTTGCAACTACTATTAACAAACATTTTTAATGCTTGTAACAATTGTTAATGATCATTGATGACCAGCTTATGAGCAAGCAGTGCAGCAGTATGCTTGGTGCATACGCAAAGTAATGTTCATACTGTTGTTTGTCTTTTTTTCAAATTCACAGAACTTAAACCCAGTGTTACAGTTACTATTTTATTTGCTGGTGAACAGTGAGTGAATTTACATATGTGCCTAAGCATTTATGGAATTGGGACCCACAGGATTAGTCTGGTGTTGCTGTTATTTATTTTCAAAATTACGTGTCTTAAGAAGTCCTTAGCTTGTAGTGTACAGCATCATGGAGAAACACTGGGCTAACATTGTGAGAATAGAAAGAAATTTTTTATTTTAATATATAGATGACTAACATCAGCACTTTAAAAGAAAAAAAGCACTGTCTGTGAAATTGAGGTGATGTTGAACAGAACTGGAGAAAATAGATGCCATTCCTGTTCATAAATCTTGTTTCTGACAGCTGTACAACCCTATTTTTCTTTTTGGCTGTTACATAAGATTCAGGAAACAAGTGACTATAGGGTATACAGATCAAAGCACACACACAGAAGAATAGTTTGTGAAGGCTATGCAATAGTAACCTCATATAATAGGTAGCTTCTGAAGAAGTTCTTTCTCACATTATTCTTTCCCTTTTATAAGGGGGGGGGGGGGGGGGGGGGGGGTGTATCCTAGTATGTGAAAAAATTACCTTAACGTTATTTTTGTAGTCTCAAAATCACCTTTACTTACCTATTTCTTTTATTAGTTTTTGTCTACTACATGTCTATGACTAATGCAGCAGTTAAGTGACTTACAGGCATCAAAAACCAAAGCTCTTCAACTAAACTTTTCCCTTTTGCTCACCCTAACAAGTCTTTTAGGTGGGTAAGTACACTCAGATCACATAAGCAGCATTTGTGTATCTAGCTATTTATATGAAAAGGCATGAATTAAGTGAGCTTCAAAGTACAGGCTTCAAATTTTAGGATCAACTGAACGTGCCCTATGACTCAACTAAGGCAAAGCCATCCTCAAATCATTAATGTGTAATTTCCAGATTAAATGGCTTTTAATGGCGTAGTAAGATTATGAAGAACTTCTGGTTAAAACCCCTATGAGAGTTTTGTGTTTTTCAATGTGACAAGTCACAGTAATTTCCTGTATGAATGTGTTAAAATATTTCATCACAAAAGTCTCTAAATGACAGCATATGTGTGAAAAGCAAAATTGCAACTTTGAGACTTTCTGTGAATGAAGCTGTTATATGGAAATAAGACAGGGTCACTATGTGAATGAAGAAATGCTGATACGGTCTTACTAGCAAGGGCTACAGTACACAGAAACAGTGCTTCAACTTCAGACAGTGGGACCTAGCAATAGTATTTCTAAATAGTTTTTATAAGCAGAAGTATTATTCCTTACAAAACCTGTTATAGAGGACTGCAAAGTATGCTGAGCTACTTTTTCCTTCTGCAAATCCATGGCTGAGATAAGATTGTTTATCTTCAGGTTCTGCATGTCTTTTTTCCACGTTACGTCCTGAATGAGAAAGCTCACTCCTGTGATCAGAACATAGTCTAGGAAACATTGATTCTTTCTGCTGGAATAGCAAGTGATATTTTCCTGTTACTACCCCAATACAGCTCCCAGTACCAATATACTGCGTAGCTACATCCAGACATAAGCTGAAGCTCCCTGGAATTGGCTTCCAAATTTTTGATCCGGTCCCTTCAGGGCAAGCAAATCATGATTCTTAGGTCTCAGTCCCTTTTGCTACAAGAAAGAGATCTCTCTTTGTTTCCATCACTCAAAATGTGATCCTACAAAACATCTGCAAAATGCTGGTACAGCTCTGAAGCTGTGACCAAGATATCTACCTCTTATACCAAAGCTACTGGATTCTAGCTGTCAGCTTAGACCTCCAAGAGAAATTCTGCTGCCTTTTTCAAGGACACCTCAAAGAATTAGGTTTGCCAACAATTCTGCTGTGCTTCTCTGACAAAGGTTATACTTTCACTAGCAAAACAACCACTCATCTTTTTTGTCTAGTGTATTCGCTTAAGCTGCTCATGAAAGGAGACTGGTAAGACAAAATTGAACTGCAGCAGTTTCTCACAGACAGTCAGAGACACAACAGTCTCTGGTAGAAGGAAAATAATGCAACAATTGTCAGTTCATCTGAAAAATTGTTTTGTGACTAAGCTTTTGCTGTATTTTCTCCCCATTCAAGACTTGCTTTAGAAAACTAAACAGGGAAAAACCAACTGTGCTTTGATAGTGGCAGCTGGGATGCTTATCATAGGTGAAGGATTTGGCATTTAAATGTGCCATTAAATAAAATTTTGTTTGGATTTTGAAGACTAGATTGGTTTTGATTGTATAAAATTTACAGACGACAATATCAATCTATAATTTTTTTCTTAATGGACTTTTTATTCAGAATTAAGTTCTAAGACTTGAAAACATTGAATAAAAATATGCAATACCCTGAGATTTTCAATAAAGTTTATTTCAATAAATTAAGTTTAAACCTGTCTTAAAAATATCCCTTATTGCACATGCAGTTTACTACACCAACCCAAAACTGAGTAGCCTCCATGCAGGCAATGAGGTTAGGAACAATTCTGGGAAGGACAGCAGAGGCTGTCTTGTGCAAAACCATAGTAGAGGTCAGGAATACTACTGAGAGCAGTAATGAATAAAATGTTTAACAGTAATGAGAGTTACTCCTTGGTATGGTGCTTCTGCAAAGTACAAGGCAGCATTCACTTATTGCAGTAACTGAATTGCAGTATTACATTTATTCATCCAGATCCTGATTGCATTGTAAACGATGAATCCATGCCAAAAGAAATAACCACTGAACTTCTGTTATTTTTCCCTCATCCTGGGTATGAAAGAATGCAGAAATATTGTGACATTCCCAGCTAGAAATCCGTATTTAACAAGGCATTCTCTGTCTTCCAAAAGGAGCAACATAGCGTTCACCCCCTCTGGTGTGGAAGGCCTGCCTTAGCATTGTTCTTCCACAAGAGAAGCTTTTCTCCATCTGCTAAAGTAATTCCTTAAAATTTAAGACTATGTATATTTTAAAATTTCACCAGGACCTACCAATTCAAAATGTACTGTTATAATTTATGATAGAATAAACTAGTTCATTACTCAAGGTTTCTCTAAACTGAAAATTAGCAAATACCATAGGTAAGAAAATCTTGTGCAACAACATATTTGAGGAAGATGAAGAACGTACCTTTCATTGATAGAAGTGATTTTAATCATGTGTGGTTGTTTTTTGCTGTTGTCAGTTTTATTTTTATTAACAGTGATAATTAGAATGATTACTGTCATAAATGAAAAAAAATGACAAAGATAGTCTTGGTGAAAGACTTTCAGTTAAAAGTAAAACCTTATATTTGTATGTCGTTGAGAAAAGTCATGAGGCATAATCTACATCAAATAATGAAATGAACCAAGTCTTAAGAATTCACAAAGCAGTAAAATTACAGCAACCTTCTGGTAGAATGCATTTAAAGGGAGGCAAGCCAATTTTAAGTATTAGCATTACTAATGGAAAGTGACCAAGGCATGTCAAGGAAATATAAAAAAGTCTAACAACTTGCTTCCTCCACAGCAGTACTCTATCACAAAAACTCACTGCTCATATAGGAGGAATGCTAGTACAGAAGTGAATAAGCACCACATTCATAAATTACAGCGGATCAAAAGCTGTAGGCCTTGCCTTAGGGAATGGTTTTGTTTTCAAAACCAATTTACTTAAGGCAACTATTTTAACACAGGTGAAAATGTATAGTGAATGTTAATAGTAAACATACCTATACTGCTGAAGCTTCATCAGAAGCTTTTGAATTACATCATCTTCTCTCATGCTATGAATTGCTATAGGTGAGGATAGCTAGTAAGACTTGAAAACCCAAGCAGCTCACAAGTCCCTTTCTTCCATTTCTGGAAACAAGATACCCTTCTTCACTGTCCATCTGCTACCTGCCAAATTGGAATACAGGTGTGTAAGGAAGAGAGAGTTGCCAAGAGAAGTGCATTATCTATAGTCTCTATTTCAAACTAAACGTTAAAGAATTAGAAAATACTTTATGTCAAGTCAAGGTCATTTTTGTTATGCTTGAGGATTTTAGGGAGTGGTGAAACTCCAAGTAAAAGATCCCATGACTGTTCACTCACAGTTCTATCAATCCTAGCCCCAAACAATTAATGAGAAGACTCTTGATTACATTTTCTGAAGAGACAGCAGGCACCCAAACACCCTCCAAGCCCTGAGGATGCTTCATCCATTATTCATTTATGCCGTCTCTCCTGAAAGCATTCTTGCCACTGACTTCTCTTCCACAAGATGACAAGACACCGGGAAGAAGGAAGTAGGCTCAGGTGCCATTGGTGCACTTACCTCTCAGTGACTGCAGGGCATGTGAGCACATACAATATCTGGGCTTATTATCACAAGCAGAGAAGAAAAAGCATGGGAGGAGAGAAGGCAAGGACCTCCTTTTATATGTATATATAGTCCTTCAAACGCTGTCTTTTTAATCAGGATTTCACAGCCCACTTAAAAACTTTCTTAGAAATAATAAAGTCTCTATTAAATACAATTCAAGTTGTTTCTCATTGCCTTTCCAGGATGTGTGTATTTGTACACAAATGTATACATGTACACTTTTCTGCAAGAAGCCAGCTATCCTCCCTAATAAGTGTCAGCAAGGACAATTCCAAGTGTGTTTTTGTAGAAAAAGCATCACTTTCCCTAACTCAGAAACTTACTTGATCAATTCTTAGTTCCACCTTTTATTTCCCCCCCTTTTCTGGGGGGGGCTCATTTTTCCTCCTCCTTTCACTACAAATATATTCAGGCATCCTAAAACCTGAAAACATTTGCAACTGTTTATTCATTACTTACTTTTCCCTGAATTTCCAACTATTGTGTATAACCTCTAGAATTTCATGCAACCAATTTGTCAGATTATGAATACCAAGCTACAGCAAGCAGGTGAGAACACAAAACAGGCAGCTTATGACATTCTCAGTAACGTTCATGAATGAGGAATAAGTATATGTAGTATAGTTATCACTGCCAAGTTGGGTGTTGAATGAATGCAGTAATAGCAACAGTTTTGAGTATTCATTAGCACATGACAGAGCACAAATGAAGTACTTCAAAATGGTGTTTACAAAAGAGCAGACTATTTATGTCAAGATAAAAACATTAATTAGCTTCTTGCTGTCAAGCAGGTTTTGCAGAAATATATAAAATATAAACGAGCTTATTTGAGCAATCCTGCAGATATCCAGATTGCAAGTAAATGCTACTGCACTGGACATGAAGTATTTCAAGAGAAGACAAGGAAACCAAATCCACATAATAGTCGATCAATGTCAAACACAAAATTGGCTAAAAATGGAAAGAACAGAATATTGTCAAACTAAGAAGCTAGAAAGTAAGTTACAACAATTGAAAAATTCTCACTGGTAAATTCGTATCAGTGAATAGATTAGAACAAAGATATGTAAAAACTGTATGAGCTACAGCTGTATTTGATAAAAAACAACTTGATCTGATGGTATATGGCTCTCAACAAAGGAACATGACAAAAAGTAGCAGAGATGAACTAGCTGAGAGGAACATTAGCATCTAATACTCTTTTCTGTTCTGCGTTTGTGAATTACCAAACCACTACACTATCACAGACAAAAGGTGGCGTTTTTCAATGTATGGCAGGAGTGATCTGAAATGAATACTAGAAATGAATGAATAACGAGTTAAAAACAGAGTATGAAGAATGCACTGGACACTGCTAAAACAGATATAAACCATAAGAATTTGAGTAAAATGCCACAGTACAAAACCCCGTTTCATAGCTGCTGAAGGATGGAAGTAAAAGAATAGCAAAAGCAGTGAATTGCAAGCTCATTCTCACGCTGTGCACAGCTTCTTTTTCTACTCATCTTTTGCTTTTCTAATCACACTAGTATTGTCTTTTTCAGAAAATGGCCACTCCCCTTTGAACTTTCTTTAGGGAATTCAAAGGACTCTCTCTTCTTTATATCCCATCTATAAATGATTCAATTTATTATAAAAAAATCAACTTTCCAATGAACCTAAGGTTGACAATTCAATTTTTTTTTCTCTAAACTAGGATCTCAACAGACCTGACACCTCCACACAGGTGAGGTGTTTAGGCGTCAGTTCCACATTGAACTGAAAAGTGAGTTTGAAGCCTGAAAAATGTTACCTGCATAGCATTTGCAAGATCCAGCCTCTTCCCTCCTTGCACAGAACCGATGCTCCTGTCCAGTTCATCCTTATCGCTGTGTTCTTACTATTGCTCCATCTCCGGTCTTGGTATGTTCCTTCTGAATTCACCAATTTCCTTTTAAAATACAACACTAAACATCACTTTAGTAGGAGGTATCAAATACTTGACCATTTTTCTATTTATCCACTTATCTCTCCTGCTCCCATGAAAAACTGCTTTTCTTCACCTTCAAGACCACATTTGAATTATTTGTCATCTGTCATGTTAAATGACAATTTTAACATTCATTTTTATATACCATAATGAAAGATCTTTCAGAATTACTTTGTAATCTCACTCAAAATGACTGTCATGCATAGAAAAGCATAGAATATTCCTCTTCAAGAAAAAGAGGAAAGAAAATTCCTCAAGTTTTTGTTGTGAACAATGATTTGACAAGTAGTTTGCTATGATGTTTATTTCACATTTCTGACCAGCAATGTGCCATTATTTCTTTGCTGTCTTGTTTATTTATCTGATGCCTACATTTTTTTGAACGGTCTCTAAACAGAGTTCACCTACCTAAATACCACAGTAATACAAATAATATATAATGGAAAAATATCAAATCTGGTACATAAGGAAACGGCTCTAAATCAGTGACCACAACATAGCTGAATTACATATATTTACACACATGCATACATAAAATGATCAAGTCAGTACTAAAATGAAATCACTATGTACAGCAACATTTGTATTTTTTGTTAAGAAACTCCATTACCACATACAGCAAAATTCACACAAAGGGCGTGAAAGGCATTTGTACTACTCTAGCCATAGCTTCAGCAGCACCATTGCAGCATTTTCCAGTACATGACATTTTTCACAGAGCATCCCTCAAGTACAGCTCAAACACTAGTTAGTGTCTATGCGCAGGGCAAATGTCTCTAGGACAGTAACAGGCAAGTCAGAGACAGAGGAATGATGGATGGGAGGAAGCCACCAAGTATGTATTTCACAAGAATACAGAATCAAAACTCATTCTTCTCTCTCAGAAAATACACACATTTAATGTTTGTCTTTAATTCTAAGAAAAAAGCAATTCCAAAAATACAAACTGAACATCAGAGTCAAGTCAACCATCATAATAAAATGAAACAATGACATTCACAATAGTTAAGTCTATGGACAGCTTAAGTTTGACAAATATTCCCCTTCCCCTCTCCCCCAGCTAAAGTCCCGAAGTACATTCCAATATTTATCCTCAAATGAAACTTTACTGAAAATACTGCTGGTGTTCAGTTAGAATTAAAGGACTTGAATTAAGTGAAATAATAAGACAGATACAGATGGTGTAAGTAAGGTTACAAAGGCTTTACATTTTGCATTATCCCAAGATATAAACATTCAAAAAATTAACATGAAGTTGCTGTGTTATCAAAATATTGCAGCTACAGGCAAGGCAACATTAAATTAATAGCTGAGGGTGTGAGGAAAAAAAAAACATTTTAGTAAAGGTAAACAGACGTGGCAATTTTTAATTAGCAATTTTTTATAAAGCTAATATTACCCAGCCAGCCATAACCCAAGCACAGGATAAAAACCTTTCTCTGCTTCCTTTGGCTATAAGGTGACAGGGAAAAAAAACAGATCACCTTTTTAAGATGTTCAAGATGAGCAGAAAAAGAATCAAATAATCAAGTAATGGAATAAATAAGCACTAACTCAGGCAGTACATTTTAAACCACACTGTCATTTGTTACATAATTTTATTTTGGTGGTAAACTGTAATCATAGAAGAAAAGATGCCTTATGTACTACAGTGAATAACCACCAAAGTAAAAATATTCTTCTGTTTACTCTTTGGCTAACCCCCCCCCCCTTCAAAAGTAGCAAAGAAAAAACATTTAATACTGGCAAGAGACTGACTTTTTTTTTAAACAAGTAAAATAAACTTATCACTTTAAAACTCAGTACATTTTACAAAAACAAAAGAGGTAATGTTGTAATAAAACCAGTAATGTTACTTCAAATGGCAACATACTGTTTGTTGACCCTGTGCAATAACACACTTTGTTCATACTACCTTTATCAAAACAAGACTGTGAACTACAGGTATGTAGGAATCTTGTGTGCGTTTCCTGTCAACTTAGTTTATAACTGGGACACAAAAGTTACAATCAAGGTGCCACAATAACTTTAAAAATGTTATTTCTAGTAGAGTTAAAATATTCAAATCCTGCATTGGTTTTAATAGTTAAGTCACATGAAAAATAATGGAATATATTACCTAGGGCATATGAACATCAATGACTGCACCCATTGCCAGAACACGCTGCACTGGTTTGACACTTTTCCTTAGTACACAGAAAGCAACAGCACCCAATAAGCCTGAGAAGAAATGCTGCTGTGTAAATACTGGCAACTATTCCTGAAAAAAGAATTATGGGATGTATACTCAGAAGCTGACCGATCCCATAATTTGTATTGCATAGGTCACAATCACACATATATATACACACACAAGGAAGTGTGTGCATATATACATATGTATATACACACACGCGCACACACACACACACACAAAAGAATATATTAAGAAGACAATGAAGTCTGGTCACAGAGCAATTTACAGGCTCAATATATTTTTTTTCCTTTTTTTTTTTTTACACTTTGTTTGAAAGAAAACTTCAGTATTTTACAGTCTTCAGTAGGCATTATATACACTGCACTTATGAAATCTAGAAAGTATTGAAATAGAAATACATTTCTGCAAACATTTGGGTAAGAAAACAAACCAAAATTTTTCAAAGATTTGTGCTATCTACATAATATTTTCTCTAAATCACAATAACTGTATCCATGGAATGTTCTCTAGAAAATGTCTTTTTTTTTTTTTTAAACACCATGCACATTTTTAAGCAATTGTAACCCAAAATATCCCAACCTAAAACAATCTAACAATGTTCAGATTAAAAAATTTAAGTTTCAGATCAGATTTTAAAAAGATAAGTCTTTATCACAAGAGCTGTAATGATAACAATTACATGTTAAGGCTAAATTGGTTTTTTGTTTTGTTTTTAGAAACATTTAAAGACACGCTTCTCTCGTGGCTCTGCGTTATGAACTGTACTTACAGATGACAGTGCAGTGAACATAATGTTCAGTCCTACAGTCAGGATGCAGTTGCTCCTTCCCACTCCACAAGATACTGCACCTTTCCATCAAGTGTCACCCGACGAGCCAACACACGGTATTTTTCACCACAAGCTATTCTACCTGCTGCACCAAAATAACTAGTAATTGAGTTCTTTAGATGATTGAGCTGTAACTCCTGATCTGCTAAGTTATTAAGT